ACAGTACACCCCTAGATGTACCAAGTCATAAACTGTCATAAACTCCAAAAAAAAATGCGGTCAACAACATAGATAAATAAATATGTAGCAAGCTAAGTCAACAACATGCAGCTTGAAGTTTTTATAATTATCAAGATTTATTATTTACTAATGGTCCTTTTATTAGTAGAATAGTAAATATTGATAAGGAACTATTTCAAAGCCAGTAACTTTGCAGGTTAGAAAAGAAAACTTTGGGTTTTTATTTTACAAAAATTCATTTGGTAATGAAAATTTTAAAATGGCAGACCAGAAGAAGGAGTTGACTTTTCCAAGGAAGTTTACAAAATATGAGCCAAACTTAATTCCAATTTCAGCCAAAAAACTTTCCCGACGACGATAATGCTTATGAATAGTAAACAAAACTTGTGATTAACGAAACATGATTTTCATTTTGCCTTGAGAATCAGGACTTAGGATATTCTTTTATTACATGTAACTTATAAAAAATCATCTTTAGTGTTTAGAGGTAGCATATCCCAAGTCCATTATTTAATTAACTACAATTTTATTAATATCTTTTGTAATCAAAAACTACCTGGCTTTTAAACAACAAATAAATTTTTATTTAGAACTTTACACAATTAGTGTAGTATAAAGTGTCATGCGTAAGTAATGTTCAAATTGAGATGTGTGCACTGAACAATCAGCTGTGACTTGTTTGCATCCGGTGTACAGATATGTATTCTGCAGTGTCTATTAATTAAATATCTGAAGGATTTAGTGGCTTGTTGCAGTTTTCCTGAACATGATAATTTACATCGGAAATTTATTTATTTATTTATATTTTCCACTATACAATGGATTGTAGCTACAGGATGAACAGATTGGACATCAAAACCATCATCAAAAATTTGCAGCAGACATTTTAAGGATTAAATTTTAATAAAAAAGAAGAAACTTACCCTGCTATTACCTTATGCTGTACCAATTCTGGTAAATATTCGGTTAGTAACATATTAATACTATTTAGTACAATTATCTTGTTGGTTGATAACATTATTTAGTGCATTTTAATAGCAATAAATTACTGATTCAAGTTTTAATAATTAATATTAAAACTTTAATCTCATTCAGAGTTTAAAATACAAAGAACTTTGAATTCAATTTTCTGTAAAAAGCATCTTTATACACCTATTTTGTATTAATTAACGTTTTAAAGATAATTAACTATTTTTTAGGAAACAAAAGCCTGTATTCCAACTTCTTAATCCATCAATTTACATGAAGAATCACTTATGGAAATTGAAAATAATTTAAACATTCATGTAAGCAAATAATATTAAATTAAAATAATATTAGTTTTCTTTGACCCAAGCAGAATGGAAGGGTTAAGTGGACAAAGGTGTGAACTAGCGGGAAGGGTTAAGTGGACAAAGGTGTAGCTAGTTTTAAACAACTAATGAGTGTTTGAAAATAATAAATAATCAAATGAACATAGTAACTGAAGCATATAGTTTTAAAATACAATATTAGTACCAATACTTAGGTAAGATTGATTATTTTATATATATTACATTGAAAAATAGGTTATTCTATGCAAATTTATTAAAAAAACGACGAAAATATGGACATAACACACCTTTGTTCCTCTAAACCATATTAAGTGTAGTTAAGAAGAACTTACAATGGCTCTATGTGTTAAAAAAAAAATAAGTTAAATATATAATAATAATTAAGTATTTACTTTCGTAGCGTAATGTTTTATCTTAGAGTAATTACATACATATGTATGCATAGAGAGAACATAAATTGAGTCAATATACTGGTCTTCCTTTTTCTTATTTAATTTTTGAATAAGGCAAAAATACACAAATCTACAGAAAGATGTTGCGTATAATTTAAGAGTGGAAATAGAAATGTCAAGTGGTCATCTTTGGTCTCTTCATACTACGCAAAAAATGAGAGTAAGTACACTCATATGTTCTGATTTATTAGAAAAATGACATCCCTATTATAGTAGTATTATGTGTGACATTACTTTGCGAGACACCACACAATCAACATCAATATACTCGTTTTTGTTTTGTTATTTATTTTTATTACTTTATATGCCTAAAAATATTTAAAAAAAAATAGGACTAGACTTATAATTAATCGAACGATCAAGTAAATTGAATTATAAATTTAGTGATGATGTATTTTATTTATTTATTTAATCTTCATTATACACCTTATATACTAAGGGATATAAAGGGCGGACTTAATGCCTTATGGCATTCTCTGCCAGTCAACCCTGGATGATTTGAGAGACTGTGGCAGGTGTAATAAAGCACTTCATAAATAAATAATAATGATATAAAACGAAATAAAATGCAAATGAATAGAATAAATATATAGTTAGTAAAATATACATACTTACTTAATATATAATATAGGATAAATAATAAATATATAAATGGGTACTTCTATACAAAACTATAAGTAAATAAAATATTATGAGACAAAAAATAAAATAACACAATACATATTAAAATACATTATACAAAATATTACTTATAAAGTCAAAGAGAAAGAAAAACACAAAAACAATAGTCAGGTGGTATTATTCTTACGACAGAATTCTCGAACTAGTCTTTTAAAATAATTCTTGTTATTAGTTTTCTTGATATCAACAGGCAAGGCATTCCAGAGCAGTATAGACTGCACAATAAAAGAGGAATTATAGAAACCACTCCTATGTGATGGAATATGAATTTTAAGACAATTTTGGGAACGGGGCACTCTATCGTTAGTGGAATACAAATATTGAAAGTTATCCTTAAGATAAGAGGGAGAATTGGGGTCATTTAAAATTGAATGTAGTACTTGCAAAGTTCGGGAGCTACGCCTTTGACGAATAGATAGCCATTTAAGCTTAGATCGGTACTGGGAAATATGGTCATACTTACGTAAGCCAAAAATGAATCTAATGCAATTGTTGAGAAGGCGCTCCAACTTATCGAGAAGATATTGAGATAGATCTGGGTAACACACATCTGCATATTCAATAATGGGTAATATCAAAGTCTGGATTAGCAAAAGTTTAGTTTTAAAAGGCAGAAAGTTTTTGAGACGACAAAGAGAACGTAAGGTGGCAGTTACTTTACGGCTTGTTTCGGCAACTTGAACTTCCCAGCTTAAAGTATGGTCTATATGTAAGCCACGATTTTTGCAAAACTTACAAAATGGCAACAATGTGCCATTGTAAAATACGGGAGCAAGGTTATCGTTATTAATCTTAGCTAACATTCTGCTACTACCTATAACCATTGCTTTGCATTTGGTTGGGTTAACTAAAACACCATGTCTGTACGACCAATCTCTAATGGCATCGAGGTTGTGGTTGAGTTTATAAATATTATCATTAAGGTCGTTAACACTAGAATGAACGTCGATGTATTATATTTCAAATATTCGTTTTGCGAACTTAAAAATAATAATTAGGGAGGTATCAATACTAAGTCTTGAAAGACACACATTACATGAACAGGTTGGATTCCATTTGTAATCTCAATTTTATATGCTGACTAACAATCCGCCTTGGCTTTGCATGACTGTTTTCTAGATCTCGACAACAATGCCATTTACCAGGTCCAATTGAAAGTGTGAGTGCTTATCGAAATATGTCCAGCCTTTCTCAGGTGTTGATCTTTCATACATGCGGTAATTAATTTTTATTTTATATAAATTTAACACCTGCTTAGCGGAAAATATATACCATCAGTTAATTTCAACAAAGCTTTATCTGCTTGGATGAAAATATTTCTAAATCATGAAGGTAAGGCAGGATCTCGCTAAGAGAGAGAACTATGGCATATGTTCCCCCTACGTTCAGCAGTGGACTTTTGATTGACTATATTTAATTAATGAATGATGTATAATATCTTGAGGGAGCAGAGAGAAAATGGGTAATAAGCTCATAATAGATTTATTGGTAATTGTGTCGGGTCGGGTGAAAAAAATAATTATTGAGTTTTTCTGTCAAGAAATTCTCAATAGCTGCACGGAGTCAAGAAGTTTGCAATGTATGACCCCGTGCTACGGAAAGCACGTAAAGTACGTAAGCCCCCTGCTAGTCTCCGTTGAGGCAGGCCGCCGTGACTGAACTCGGTCTGGAGGACATTATATATCACTATACTATACTACTTTACGTGGTAAAGCCACACTGTGGCTATAAGTGTTGAGTGTAGAGAACCGGTGACCCTTTATTACTGAAAACGAGGCATTCCTTCTTAGTCCTTGACAATGCATCTACATTTTATTTTTAATCTAGGATAAATGTAGATGTCTATGGGCCACAGCATCCACTTATCATCAGGTGGACTGTGTGCTCGTTTGGCACTCTTATTTTATTTTTTTTAAAAACTGTCGTAGCAGTGCCCCCTGTGTACGTTCCGTGACACAAACTAAGTGTCGATTAAACAAACACAGTTATTATCCCTTGTGAAACCAATACTAAGTCTAAAGATAATTTGGCAGAAATATATCGGCTGAATTGAAGGCAATTTCATAGCAAACTTTTAACGATATATTTTAAATTATACAACGTTAGTACGAAATTCTGCATTATTGAACTATGTTTTGTTGCAAGATGTTAGATGAAGCTTCCATAAACTTTCGTTGATATAAATAAGTATTACGAACTGGATTAATAAAAATCCTCATTTTTACAAAGTCATAGACTAAATGAATTTATCGACAACGTTTTTTGTTTCGCAAACGGCAACCACCTTGTAAAAGAAAGAAGGTTTCGATTCGGTGATATACCGAGAGTTTGACACGGTTCCACCAGAATCGTCTCTTCCAGAGTGATCAGAAGGGGCTCTTTTAGTCATTGAAGCGACCAATGGTAAGTGGAACGGTCCCAGCACCGAATCGGGCCGACACTGTTACATTCTGGCGTGGCCTGTGGTCAGAGCCCGTAAACCAGAGCAAGGACCTTGGACGGAAGATGTGGCGAGTCAGTGTGCGAGTATTACCTCCATGGTACGTCATCATAGCGCTGGATGACGTAGCAGAGGCGGTCCGTGGGGCCCCGAACTGGAAAAGTCGGGAACTCGACGTTCTGCATCACTACTGGCTGAAGGTGTTCGTGGTGTGTCACGCTGTGCTTGCCCGACAGTTTCAACAGGCTCTCAACCACAAGTTGCTCCCGAGCCTCTTCACTGCTGGGATCACACATTTGGTTCCTAAGGTCCTCAGACCGGAGCAAATACCGCCCTTTCACGTGCCTACCGACCATATACAAGACACTTATATCCATTTTGCGTGCGAGAATCATTCGTTACCTAGAAATCTGTATTATGTTAAACGTCATATGTATAGACTTCAGCAATAAGAACTTTGTTCCTATTTTAGGACTCTCTCTATGCTAGTAATTACTCTGAGTGTTTTGTGGAATCTTACTACGGGGTAATGCGACTGACATTGAAGTCATATTTGTTTTGCAAAAGAGAGCCTACTGGCAATTTATAACTTAAATTGTAGAGTCTCTTAGAGGAAATTTTAAAGAAATAAACATATTAACTTTGGCATCGCAATATATTTATGAAAATGTAATGTATGTACATAAAAAATAGCTTTCATAAGAATAAAGATGTTCATACTTTAAACACTAGGAACAAACATAAGCTTGTAATACCAGTTACTAGACTCAACAGAATTAGTAATGAATTTATGGGTAATGTATATGCTATTACAACAAAATCCCAGAAAATGTACAAAATTTGTCATTAAATAAGTTTAAATGTTTTGTTAAAGAAAAATTGTACAAAAGGGTTATTGTAATACCAAAGAATTTTTCAAGAAACAGGTCCTGCTCCATGTCTTCCTCAGAGACCAAGGTCAATTCACCAGGCTCTTCAAAAACTGTTACGACACAGGCATCAAATATGACCATGCTAAACCTAACATTCTAAACGAACTTCAAGTAGTTCATAACTCTTTTTGTCGTAGAACTACGAACGCACCATGGTTCGTCCATAACGATGACCTTCATCGAGAATTAGAGCTCCCCACAGTCCAACAATTTCTAAATCCACTCTCTGAGAACTTCTTTAAAGCCTCCAGAGTCTCACTCAAATCAGCTTATTCGTCAGGCAGCTTCCTATGCAGCCCCACTTTCTCTCCCTATCGAGTCCGCATACCCAGAAACTCGGACCCCCCACCAAACAAGCTTTCGGCTGACCTGGACTGCCTCCTGTCGGCTCAGGGCGAGTCTTCTGTCCAAGGTGGTATTTAGTAGTAGGCCTTAGGTTTTCATAGTGAGTCCCACATAACCACGCAGGCGGCTGCGTGGTATGCTAAGAGCATTCACCATCTCCCTCCCCCGCTTCCCGGAGTGTAGTCCTTTACATTGATTCTAGGCGCAAAAATAACCGGCGTCCGGCATTCGCGGCAGACCGGCGCTCCAGAAAACACGAAGAAAAAAAGACCCCTCAAACTCCCTATTAGGCATTAGATTAGGCAATAAAATAATGATAGATTATAATTAAATACTGCCGCATTTTGTAAATAGTAAATAAATTAATGTTAGTTCATCGTACCACCTTTTAATTAATGCAGTCCTTAGCAATATGTTACGGACGGAGGGGGAGCAACCGCCCGTCATCCCGCGTACCTCACCCCGCTTCTACTCGTCTCCTGCACCTTGCATTCCCCGCGACCGCGAATGCTTAGACAAACTCAGCGCCAACGCAACCTCGTCGGCGGGAATGAAAGAAGGGCTCCCGCCGGCGTACGACATTCGCGACAGGACGGCGCTCAAGAGAAGAACAACAACCAAGAAGACCCCTCAAGCTCCGTATTAGGTCCCATTAGACATTAGATTAGTGATAGTTTGTAAGGTTTTTTGTACAATCTTTAATTTAACTCAATCCCTAGCAGTTTAAAATAGCAATAAATTCTCTCAGTAAATAATTAGTCATATAGATATCACAGTAACAGCACTGAATAAATAATAGTACTACGTACAGAAGTTGCGCTCCTTTGATGTCGACTGCTTACCGACGTTTAATAGCCTACATAATTATTATTAATCAGATAAATCGCGCACGCAAGTACTGCGATTCCGTTCTCCTTCCATGCCATGGCGGACTTTTCGTGGTTACTAAGGGCTATCAATTAAGAGTGAATTTTTTTTATTGCGAAATGTTATTTAAGTTAGGTTATGTGAAGTAGGTACCTATTATAAATATCATCGACTGATAATATTTACGCACTTGTGTAATTTCTACGATGTCCAACGCACGCAACTAGCAAAGCCACAACAAATAAACCTGAAATACGATTCCTAACAGAAATGTGATCGTATTCTACTCCGTTAATAATCTTGTTGGAAAACAAAGTTTTAATTTAGTGTTTTGTGTTGTTACAACTTAAAATAATTTAATTACAAAAGACATATAGGTATGTAAGTATGTAGATACTTAGTGAAGCAAATTTCAACTAAGTTTTGTAATAAAGTACGCAGGTATCGATTGTGTAGATAATTGAATTTTAATTTCAAATTAAGAAAATAAAATGCTTTTGAAACATTAAGTACAAACTGTTTTTTCCTGTGTAATTTTTCTTTTTTTCTTAAGTTGATTATTTTTGTCATTTGATCGTTTGTTTTTTTGATGTATGCAATTTTAAATTAACGAATAGTTAGCAAAATCCAAAATAATTTAATAAACAAATTTTATAAAGATATAGGCATTATAGGTAAGTTGTGCCTACGGAAAAATATAGATAGGTAGTTTGTTTTACGATGATGAATAAAAGCTATAGTAGCGTGCGTTGTTGAACAGTGAAAGTTAAACCTTTTTTCTAAGTGTTATATGACTTAGAAAAAAGGTTGGTTCACTGTTGTTAGAAATTAAAGTTAAGAATTTCGATTTGGTGTCATGGTTTAGGCAATTTTAAATAGTTTCTCATATTCAGGTTACAGAAAGCCAGAGAAACGAATAAAGACCGTAAATAAAGTTTAAAAATAAAATAAAATTGGCTCACTGTGTACTATAGGTAGTATACACTGAACCACCTGCATTTCAACAGTGAACTACGTTTCCAGTAAAAATCGTTATTTGTGAAAAGACACCATAAAATTTTTGATAATCGTCTTTTATTTTTGTAACAAAAAAATTTTGGTTTTCAGTGCTTTATCTATGGTAATAATAATAATAAAATCATCCTTCAATTAATTACCTACCAGTTGAAACAAGAACTGGGTAAACAAAAATAATCATAACATATCAATTATAATTTCAAGTTATAAAGGTTTCGTGTAGTTTTCTTCACAGCAGTTAACTTCTTAATGACGCTAAGTTATCATATAAACCTCTGGATAAAATTAACAATCAGCCTTCCTCAAATAGTATAATTAACAGTCTTCATTAATTTACCGACTAATTAAAGAATCACAAAAAATACATCAAAATGCGTCAAAGTAAATATTTACGCCATATTTAGTAAAGATAAGTTTATATTGAAGGAATATTTAATCAGACTTTTGTACCTGACACACAAGGAGGAGGGAGAATCTTTTTAATGTCACTGAGATTCACATTAGCCATATCGGGTTCTAGAGGAAAATTAAAGGTTTTATTTAGACGATCTTTTAAATATTGCCACAGCTTTCCGATCGAATGAGGTAGCTCGTGCGAGACCCTCAGATTCGGTTTCTTTACTCAAATATCAGGATGTCCTTTTTTAAAGAAACGAAAGCATTCCAAACCTGACATTTTATCCCTTTCCCATGAGCTTGGTATTTTTATGCCATTAACCTTTGCCATTTCGTACGCCACCTTCCTACATTCTTTGATGGTCAAATCGTAGAACATTAGTGCACAGCCTTTGTAGTATTTTAATAATATTTGTTCGTGTTCTTCAGTAAACACTTTATTAATATCATACTTCGGTTCGACTGATACTATACTATATTATCACCATGTTCACGTTTTTTTTTTACGTTAACGTAACGGCGCAATGTAGGGTAGGGAATTTTACTGGTTTTTGCCGCCGTGCCAATGAAGCTACCACTTTCTATCATTAGTAATGCTGAGCTGACATCATATCGTTTTTTTTTTGTGTTTACTAATTTTTCTTTCCTTATTTCTTGGCCTTTGCATCCTAAAACAATCAAAAATATTATTGATTTTCAGCATAACACTATCATTGAACAGTGAACCAGAATCGTAAGGTACACAGTGAACCGGTTCACTGTGTACTATGCGAACCTGGTTCACTGTTCAATACACACACTATTCAACTTATAATATTTAAAAAAAAATAGGTTGTAGACTGAATTGTCACAAAGCAATATGCTCATAAAACGTCTAAAATTACATCAATATCGACACCATAAAGCTTTTGGTGCTAGAATTAATAACAAAATATATAAAAATCGAGACACGTGAGAATTCTATGTTTTTTTGGAGAGAAACAAACAAACCGCTGTCACACCTTACGCTCAAGCCGCAGCCACCGGCTAACTACGGGAGAGGGGAAGGGTGCTTACGAGAAAAGTTTTAACACAATCGGTCGAATTGGCAACCTTGCAGTTTTTTCAATATGGTGGTGGTTCAATGTTCCTGGTTGGTTCACTGTTCAACTACGCATATCCTGCAAATTTTAACGATTTAACTTATTAACTAGATTCTTTCTACGCACGATAATTAAATGCATTCTTTCTACGCGTGAGTGTTTGTAAGTTTGATTTCGAAACTGTTTTTAAACAAACCCAAGTATGTTTAAAACATCTGAAAAGTCAAAAATGACAGCTGTCATATTTCTATGGAGCAAAAAATTAAGGTTTGGGGACCTTCAAGAAAAGAGCCTACTCCTTTTTTAAAAGGCCGACAACAGATTTGCAATTTCCCTAGTGTTGCAGTTGTTTATGGGCGACGGTAATCACTTGCCATCGGGTGAGCCGTATCTATGCTCTTTAGCCCCTCTCCTATAAAAAAATGATTATATTCTGAAGCCTAAAAATCAGTTTTCATGATTTTGACTAGTAAAATAAGTAAGGTCCTATACAAATTTTAAGGCCCTCCTAAATGGGATTATTTTCAGCAACCATATACATATACTTTTTTCTTATTTTATAACCACAAGACCAAATACTTATCTATCTTCATCAAACTTATATATACAGTATCGATTTTATATGTCTTAACTTCCTTTTCATATTCATTAGATATGCAGACACAACATCCACGACGCCGCTAGTGTTCGTTTTAAGCACCGGTTCCGACCCATTTGGAGCATTTCAAAAGTTTTCTACTGACATGGGCATGCGAGACCGTGTCCATTCCATCTCCCTAGGACAAGGGCAGGGCCCTGTCGCTGAGCGAATGATCAGCAACGCTAAGTGCAAGGGAGATTGGGTGTTCTTGCAAGTAAGAATTACCTACTTGTTTATTTACTATTATAACAATTTTCCTTTTATTTACAAGTATTATTAGGAAATTAATGGAATAATAATGATGTTTATAACTCACCTTTCGTTTGTCGACGCTTTGTTCATGATGACAGTATTGTTTGAGGACTCAAAATTGTTTCCCCAAGGGATCGGTCTTCAGGTGAATAATGTAAAGAAAAATGTCATGTGTAGCGTTTATGTCACACGTATGCCGGTAGTTGTTGGTAACACAACTCTCGAAGTTGTTAACGAGTATGTTTATCAGTTACCTAGGATAAATAGCCCGGCTAGGTGAGTCCCACAGCGACTGAGAAATTCGACCGATGGATCTGACTCAACTGGGCAGCGTCTGGGAGATTACATCATGTGGCCTCGTTTCGTAGAGGCCAAAACTTGAAAAGAAGAGTATAGAACCAATGCCTATTGCCATTTATGAAAGCTCACAGTCGCTCGGCGTGCCAGGCAGAGGGCTACGCTCGGAGTTTCTCTGTGTGTTAGAATTGAAATCAGGCCACTCAAAGCAGAAAGAACAAGAGTAACCAACATAGCTCAACAGATTAGTAAGCTGAAGTTGCAGTGGATCTTCCTTATAACTTGAAGAGCTCTCAAACGATAGGGAAGAAAGGCTCTCCACTGAAAGCCTCGTACCGGTAAGCGAAGTGTTCAACAGCCCCTGACTATATTGAGTGGCATGTGGACCTGATGGAAGTCGATGATGCTGGTGGCTTGGGGCCATATTTTGTGGCATTCCTTAGGGATTTCTATGTCCGGCAGTGGACATGTCAAGGGCTGTAATGGTGTGATAACTAATATAATAATCTTAAAAGTTACACATAATGGTTTGATCGCTTCCGTCCAAAAAAAATTCGCCCTCAGTGACGAGCTACATGGACAGCTGGAGACAGAAGTGAATGTCCACACACTACAACGGATTCACATATTCATCGTACTCGTGCTTCCGATTCATTTTTCTCATAATTAAAGGGTTACAATTTCGAAACCTATGGGCCTATAGGCGGTGATAAACACCTTTAAAGATTTAAAAAATGTATCCCCTTACTAGAATTTCCTCCTGTGTCGTGGAGGCAGCATATAAATAGCTCCACGGTTACTTGTAGTACTAATAATTGCTCCGTACGGGATTAGAATCCGCGGCCCTCGCACAACGGAGCCGTCGAAGAAATAGAGTTTCATAATAATAATCGATACTTCAATCAATAAAATATAACATAATTTTCATAAAGAAGGGATCTAGCTTAAACGATTAATTCGTGGATAAGGATCCAATAATCAATGCTTAATACAAAGGTGCAAATGTTTTAATCATCTTCTTTTCGCAGAACTGCCACCTGGCAGCATCTTGGATGATGAACCTAGAGCTGATTGTGGCCAATCTTGGCGATGAACAGGGTGACCCACATCAAGATTTTCGCCTTTTCTTGAGCTCTATGCCGACGCCGAAATTCCCAGTGTCCGTGCTACAGAACTCGGTCAAAGTTACCAACGAACCACCAAAAGGCTTAAAAGCAAACGTTAAGAAAGCACTAATCGATATGGATGCGGACTTTTACGAAAATCATGGTACGTATGCTTGTAGGGCGTAAAATCAGGGTAGTGTAATAACTCAGGTCCCTAATTAATGGACACGCCCACCCTTCATTCAGGATTTAGGGTAAAGTAGTATATATATATATATACTACATATATATATATATATATTTATATATTTTATATATATATATATATATATATATATATAAACTTAAATGGGAGCATGTGTTTAATAATTATAGCACTTATTTCTGCTAAGCACTCCAACTAAGCTTAATATGCTTGTGACTGTCTCTTTGGTCTAGTGGTGGTAAACGCAATTGCTGACACACACACATACACACACACACACCACACACACACACACAGCACACACACGCACGCACGCACGCACTCACGCACGCACGCACGCACGCGCGCGCTTTTTTTATAATTTTAATAAATATATAAACTTGGTGTTGAGGATAACAACATGAAGGACAATACTCAAGGATAGACCGTACCGGAGATTTAAATAGTATAATCAATGTTGCTGACTGTTTAAAATCTTTTGAGATAGAGACGCATAACAAAACCTAGAATTTTCTAAGCCCTGAGTTATAATATTAGTATGTGATGCCATTAACAACTTACTATCCACCAGAACACAAAGTGTTTTCCAACTGATCACCCAGTTCATTTACTCTCGTTAGTAAACTAACGTCAAGCTTATCATTAAGCAGGATCGGATTCTTTTTCCTGGTAAATGAGATGATATTACATTTCCTGATGTTGAGGTAAAGACGATTTCCATAACAATACAAACTTAGCCGTTAGTAGATTGCAGTGTTCTATAGTTTTAATAGACCTGAAAATTTTCATATTATCTGCAAATATTATTTTTGTAATTGTAGTATAATACAATAAATATTACTAATTGGAATTATTGAAGCATGATATTACGTAATTTATAAATATTGTAAACAGTAGCGATATGAATCCTTATTCAATCGATTTTCGCCTCTTTCATTGATTTTTTTGTTTCGTTTATTTTTATTTAATAAACTCTTGTCAAATGTAGGGAGGAATTAGCTGTTGCAGGAGCTAGGGTTACATTAACGTGTGTAAAAATTGTTGGGATCGTAGCATCTAAGATTTTCTCTATTTTCAATTTTATAGTACTAGAGCAAGATTGGCGCACTCTACTGTTTGGCATCTGTATGTTTCACGCTATCGTTCAAGAGCGAAAGAAATTCGGACCACTTGGCTGGAACATCTCTTACGAGTTTAACGATAGCGATCGCGAATGCGCAATGCTCACGCTACAGATGTTTTGCGCCGAAGGAGATATTCCGTGGGACGCACTAGAATACATTACCAGTGAGTGATCCATTTCTTATATTAAGGGGATGTGGGCGCCAAAAGTAGATTTTTCACGCTTTATAGGTGCGTGGAAAAGCAATTTTTAAAAACTACGAATCCACATTTTTTTTTAAATTCATTATGAATGTTAAAGATTTTTCTTAGTGAATTATGTTGGTCAAAACACGATTGACACATTTTGGCTCGATAGAAAAAGATCGCAAAATTTCCTCCAAATCTACAATTTTAGGTACGTCTACTAATGAAAAAGCTGTTTCATTCGAATGTAATGAAGTCAATTCCAATTACATTCTGACCTGATATGTGTTCACCGGTGAGTGAATTATGATTTTATTTTTCAATAAAAGAATATATATAATTTTAAAAAGAAATATCAAATTAATATTGTGCGATTAAATAGCGCGCGTGCCGATCAAACAGTCGCCACTCGCACCTATAAAGCGTGAAAAATCTGCTAGTGGCGCCCACCTCACCTTAATATATAATTGTGTAGCAACCGATTAATTTTATACACAAACCGTGTAGTAGAGGTGTGAAAATATCCACTGCCCCATACCATCACGTGGATATCGGAAGAGGCTGCACAGGGAAGCAAATCAGGAGATGGGCGTGGGGCGTCTTCCTAATGACTAAAAATAGCACGCTGTAGATGTGAAACCTTCAGAAAAGGAGACCGAGGTAATAGGAAATACTGTATATGTTCTATCTCATTCTCTCGCAGGCTAAATCCTATAGATGTTTGTCTGTTTTTAGTGTGGCTTTTTCATTTCAAATCACAGCGGTTGTAAAGAAGTTTTCGCTTAAAAAGGTGAGATCACGTACGGCGGACGCGTGACGGACATGTGGGACCAGCGCTGCTTGGCCGCGGCGCTAAAGCGCGTGGTGTCGCGAGAGGCTCTGCTCGAGGGGCACGCTTACTCTCCGTGCGGTCGCTACTGCACCCCCCGCGCTCCCCGCCTCGCTGACGCGCGCCTGCACGTCGACTCGCTGCCCGACAACGAGCCCCCCGAGCTCTTCGGCATGCACGACAACGCCAACATCGCCTACGAGGCTAGTCACCCACCTACATCTCTTCTCGATACCTTCATTTTCATTATTTTTTCGTGCTAATAAAAAAAATATGTGACACACTTAGATGATTTTTATGTTCCTTCGAGCAAGATGAAACGAAATTTTTGTTTGGAACTGTACGCCTTTGAAAAAACGATTGGGAAGTGATTAAGATCAGCCAGAAGGTTCACCTAGATTATTTTGTTGCGTTAAAGATTGCGCTACAGCTTAATGTATTGATGGTACAGAGGAAGGAGACGAGTGCGCTGCTGCAGACGTTAGCGGACGTCCAGCCTCGGTCCATTTCTACTGGGGGGGAATCCCCGGACCAGATAGTGTGGCGCATCTGCGAGACCACGCTCGCATCTATTGCCACACACGTACGTTTACTTCCTTTATTAATTTTTCTAGTATATAAGTGTTTATTATGCTTTTCCTAATATGATGTAATGGAGGGTATAAAAACTTTATTGTTAAATGCCAAATTTTTCTGCATATTATGGTGCATTCTCCAAAGCGCTAAGCTTGGCGAGTAGTTTATTGAGTTAGCATAAAACACCAAGTAATTTCTTAATGATATGAGATTAAGAGAACTCTCTGAAAAATCTTATTTTTATACAATTGTAGCGGCGCTGTCGTCGCCGCCACAAGTGAAATCCACCGAAGCCTAAATCACGCTATCAACATTCCGAATCATAAACAGTATATATAGAACATCTCCGAACTATCACTCGGAGTGTCGGCCGCTCCCCGGGCAGAACACCTTGCCCGGCGGGAGATCTCCCCTTTTCCTTCCTCACCGGCCACAGTGGTGACCCCGACGTGATCTGAACACGCAACCAAACAACCTTCGGAAACTTCAAGCTTCATCATCGTCATAGAATACCCCACCCATTCGCTCCCGAGCAGATATCGTCTGCAGTCTTCATATCCTGCAAGCCATCTAGCTTCACAAGGTTCATCGCAGCACTGGAATAATAATGCTTCCTGTTCCTTCAAGCTACTCTCTGCGCTATACAGTGTTCGGCACGGCTCTGAGCCTTACTGCTCGCCTCTGCCTTACGGCACTCTCGCAGATTACTTGCCTTCTTCTCGACTCACCGCAGACTACAAGGCAATCTCCTGGCACTTGCACATTCGTCGGCAACGAGGCTGCACTATCGACCTCCGGTCTGAGTAGGGGGGTGATGTAGCGGCGCTGTCATCGCCGCCACAAGTGAAATCCACCGAAGCCTAAATCACGCTATCAACATTCCGAATCATAAACAGTATATATAGAACATCTCCGAACTATCACATGGAGTGTCGGCCGCTCCCCGGGCAGAACACCTTGCCCGGCGGGGAGATCTCCCCTTTTCCTTCTACGGCCACACAATCAATATTTGGTAAAGAAGTCGTAACAAAACTTTTACTACACCTGGTGAAGCTAACAGGATTTTCATTTTAGACAACTTCACCTTTTTCTTAACGTGACTCTTGTAAAGTAAAACTACTGGAAGATTATACAAAGATCTCTCTCTCTCTCTCTCTCTTTTCAATTGATGGCCGTATAATAATCTCGCAGTTATACAATGGAAACGGATGTGAAACTCCCGGGTTAACGACGGGAAAATGCAACAGTGGTGGACTGTTCGCGGAACTATGAGGAGTAGGCTGTGATCAAGTATGGCGAGTACGTGAGTGTTGTATGGATGCAATGTGCGTGCAGTTGGACAATTCGGTGTCGCACCAATCCGTGCGCATTGCATTTTTAACACATTCGAGACCCCTTTTATTGGAGGATAGGCATTCCATCTTAGTCTTCAGGGGTCGACAACGGATCTGCATTTATTTTTTTGACTTGAGATTAGAGAGAAACCTGTTAGAAGAACCTTAGCATTAGATCATGTCCGGGAACATTTAATAATCTGTTATTGATTAAATTGGGGTGCTAGTTTGTCACCATTTTCTATGGGCATTTTCAGCTGGACAAAGCAGTGACACACGAGTCGGTGTGGGCGGTGGACGAGCGAGGGCAGCCGCACTCGCGGGCCACGGCACTGCGGCACGAAGCGGAGCGCTACGACGCGCTGCTGGCGCTGCTGCACGCCTCGCTGCACAACCTGCAGCAGGCCATAAAGGTGATTGTTCTACCAACTCACCACCCCATCACACGACGTTGCAGTACTCACACAGCCAATAGACATTGTAATATGCTCTCTCTCGCTCGCATATGACAGTGCACTGCTGATTTTTCAATTATACAACAAAAGAAATAGAATCTCTGCAAAATGGCCACCTTAATCATCTCTTTATAATTCATAAAAAATAAATTTTCTTAAAAATTTTAATTAGACACTATTGCTAAAACTGACTCATAGTTGGTTATTAGTAAGTGCAATTGCTGAATATGTAGAACCTGGTTCTTATCCCAGATGGCGCCAAAATTAGTTAGTTCTTCTATCAAAAAACTTTTAATAGCACCCAGGAGTCAAGAAGTTGATGATGTACCAATCCCCTCGGAAAATTAGTAAAGCCGTTTGTCCTCTGCTTAAGCATTCTCTTACTGTATCGGATTGCTATCTCATCGAATTATTGCAGTGAGGAGAATAGTAGAGTATATCTTGAAATTCTTAAGTAAATATAAATTATTTCTTTATACGTTATTTAAAGTAATTAATATTTCTTAATGTAAAAGGAGTTCTTTTTGACATCATAGTTTGATAATAAATGAGCAAAAATAATGCAATTGTCAAAAAATAATAAAAAATAAAGGCACCATCACAAAATTCCCCAGTTTTGTAAACTGCGGGGATGTTTCTTGTTAAATTACTACATGATGTCATTTATGCAATTGACTCTACATCTCACTTTACCTTTCCACTGATTAACTTAACCAGTGGACAAGGTTTTCGTGTGAGTGTGGCTGAATGTGGGGTAGTCTGAAAGGAATGTGATTGCGGTGTAAAAACATCCACTGCTCTATATCGTTCCATGAGTGTCGTAAGATGAAAACAAATTACGAGATGAAAAACAGCGGCTTCCTACTATAGTATGTGCCAAATCGATTGAGAAAAACGGACAATAACCTCAGATATGAGCCGAGTGTCAAAAGGCGTAACTTACAAAACCTCAATTTAGATGTGATAATGAATGATGTGTGGTTAAACGACCGAAAGGTCATTGTCCGTTTTTTCGATCGATTTGGCACATACTATACCTAAAAGTAAAAAAGTAATGTTACAGCCTATATACGTTCCACTGCTGGGCACAGGCCTCCCCTCATTTCTGAGAGGGTTTTAGGGCAAGGAAGTGTCCGCCGCGCTGCCCCAATGCGTGTTGGCGAACTTCACATGTCTTCGAAAAATTTTTTTGCTATTCCTCAGACATGCAGGTTTCCTCACGATGTTTTCCTTCACCGCCGAGCACGTGGTAAATCAGCAGTTAAAATTGCAATTAACAATTTCATTGGTGCCGGCGGGGATCGAACGCGGTTTGCTCGCGTACTGTGAAATTTACAGCGAGCGCTAACCATCTGAGCTACCACGGCTCAAAACATCCACTGTCTCATATCGTTCCACGTGTGTCGACCTACTTAAAATAAAAGACTACTGTTGCCAAGCCGCTTCCCAAGCGTGGAATGCTAAAACTATGCTGTTACCTCATATGAGGCAATGAACTGTAACGGTGACGGTGAGACGGATGTGGTGTGCGGTGGTCAGGGGGAGGTGTTGATGTCGGAGTCACTGGAGGAGGTGTACAGCGCGCTGGCGGCGGGTCGCGTGCCGGCGATGTGGCACGCGCGCGCTTATAACTCTCTCAAGTCGCTGGGCGGCTGGCTGCGAGACCTCACTCTGCGAGTGCACTTCATAGAGGTACCGTCCGATTTGTGTGACTGTAGCTGGTACCGCCAGGTGTGCCGATTTGTGCGGGACTTCCTGGTCTTCAGGGATATAGTGGCACGTCCCGATTTGGACTAAATGAAATATCGGGATGCTACATTTTTTACGTGGTAGAGCCATGCTGCAGTTATATTAGTAGTATAGTTGTAGCACGAATGGGTCGGCTCGACCGGGGAAGGACCACGCTCTCACAGAATACCAGCGTTAAATAGTAACTTAATGCTGCTGTGTTTCGTATGGTGAGTGTAGAGATCCGGAGACTCTTTTATACTGGAAACGAGGCATTCCATGTTAGTTTTTAGGGGTGACAACGTATCTGCATTTTGTTTCGTAAACGAGGATAGATGTAGATGTCTATGGGCCACAGCAACCACTTACCATCAGGTGGACTGTGTGCTCGTTTTTCACACTATCCTATAAAAAAAATTTCACTAACCTTTCTGAGTCTGTACTTTGATTAATAATTATGACAGCAAAAATTAATACACCTGTAAGCTCTTTTTTACTTGGTAGAGCCATGCTGTAGATATATTAGTGGTGCAGTTGTAGCACGAATGAGTCGGCTCGACCGGGGAGGGACCACGCTCTCACATAATACTAGCGTAAAATAGCAGCTCAACGCTGCTTTGTTTCGTGTGGTGAGTGTAGAGAATCGAAGACCCATTTTACTGGAAACGAGGCATTCCATCTTAGTCCTCACGGGTGACAACGCATCTGCATTTTGATTCGTAATCGAGGATAGATGTAGATGTCTATGGGCCACAGCAACCACTTACCATCAGGTGGACTGTGTGCTCGTTTGTCACCCTTGTCTCACAAAAAAGCTGCTACATTAAAATAATTTTCCATTGATGCAACGAAAATTTATCCTTTCCCTTTGCATTCACTGAAAAAGAAAATGCACAGACAATGTGCAGTTTTTCCGATTATTGAAGGAAAAATTATTCATTTATTTGATAAGTCCCATGTTATTATGAAGCACTCATGAAAAAGACTTATTTTATCAAAAGGCGGCCAAAAAGGCTGCATAAAACCTGTTTTCCGTTTTGTATTGTAGCTGTATCCATTTTAAAACCAAATACCCGATTATTTATACGTTCGTTTCAAAAATTATAAACACCGCAGCTAATGTGTGACTCACGCCGTGTTACCACACTGTTGATACGTATGGGTACTTATTTCGCACAACTCACGCCTGCCCGGTGTCCGTTCTCAGTTTCTTAAATCGCTGCTGCTTCATTTTTCAAATGAAGACTTCTTTGGAATCATTGTGATGTATTTAAAATTCGATGACACGAAATAGCTACATTAAAAAGAGACAAACATGTACATCTATAGGATTTAGCCTGCTTGAGAATGAGATAGAATACAGTAGGTATACAGTATTTATTTTACAGAAGAGGGCCATTAGAGCAATATATAATTTAAAACCAAAAGAGACACCGAGACAAAAATTTAAGGAAATTATTATATTAACTCTGGCCTCAATACATTTATGAAAATGTAATGTGTACGTACATTACATTTTCATCACAAGAATAAACGTAGTTTTGCAAAAATAAGTTGTTGACGCTCGTGTGCGTGTGTGTGTTGATAATGGAGCGGGTTCGCTGGCGGGATGTCGACTGGAGCGCACGTAGCGCCGCCAGGCGGCAGGAATGCACAACACTAAATCACGACAACAACATCACGCTTGCTAATTCTAAAAACTATGCAGAGTACACTTAAACATCTTATTTACTAAATCTATCTTAACGTAGTTTTAAACCACAATAAAAAACAAGATTAAATAAGTAATTAAAATTACGTATCGTCGCTAATATAAGTGATATTCATTCTGTAAATACTAGGAACAGACACAAGCTAGTAGTACCAGTTACTCGACTCCACCGAGTCAGTAATTCATTCTTGGCGCGATGTATACGCTTTTACAACAAAATCCCATATGATATGATCATAACCCTGGGAAGGGTGATCGCTACCATTTCTAATTTGTTTTGTGTGGTTAATTGTAAACATGATTGTAAGCTATTATTTGGAAAAAAAATTGTCCCGCTGGGTTTCTTGCTGGTTCTTCCCAGGACAGAGGTTTTTTTTGCGGACCAGTGGTAAATGAAAATATTGACTTTCAATAAGTATTGTTTGTAATCTACATTGAATTAAAAAGTTTCTGTTTGTGTTCTTTTCTGTTCTGTTGAATTTGGCAACTTGGAGTCAGTATTATGTAATATATATGAAATTAAAAAATGTGTAGAATAAAATGTAAAATAATATTTAATCCTGATACTCTGCATTCGTCTCATTCTCGCCTTTTTATAGAGTAAGCGTGACAAACGATTACATAGTCCTGACGGTAAGTAGATGCTGTGACCCATAGATCTTTTGATCCTTACCTTAGATGTCGATACGATACATTCGTGCTACAATCGAGATCGAATTTTTTTTTATTAAATTTAGATTACAAGATTGGTCAATGAAAGTGATTAAAACTTTACCACTGATTTGGAAAAAAAACCTCTGTCCTGGGCAGGACCAGCAAGACACCCAGCGGGTATCATTAAATGTACTACGTATGTACTAAAACAGACGCCGAGATTTGAACTTGATTGCTTACAGCGCGCGTTAGAGCCCACGGGCCCAAATTCACGTTCTACGTGGTAGGGTCATGTCTTCGTGGTAGAACAATGTATACGTGCTAGAGCCACGTTGCAGCTGAGGTAGGACCACGCTGTCAGAGAATACTATCGTATAATAACAGTTTCGTGTTGTGAGTGTAGGGAACCGGAGACCCTTTTTACTGGAAACGTGGCATTCCATCTTATGTTGATGTGTATGGGCCACAGTGTACACTTAACCATCCGGTAGAGTGTGATTTTGTATGTCACCCTTATTGTATAAAAAAATATTATACAGAAAGAATTTCGGGTAATAAGAACAAAGTGGATTATATTTGTTTTTACAAGATAATTTGAAAAGTTGTGATAAAATGGAGTTCGAATTATATGAATAATGTATAAGTGTAAAGTGGATACTCGTCAACAGTACTTAGCAAGCCTACATTTGGAACTTCCAACCTTTCAAATATGAATATTTTTTTATCAACTTTATTTCGTGGAATCGAAAGACCATTATGTTAATGCTGGTCAATAAGATAATTAAGTATTTTGCTTGAGATCGATATGCTGTCGAGTCGTCGCCATAGGAACACGCGCGCGCACGGTTTACGCCTCCGCCGCGCCGCTACGCCGTAGCCTCCGCTTCCTGCTGTCGTCTTATTTACGTGTAAACAATCTATAAAAATGTGAGTGTGTAAAGATCTATTAGAAAAAGTTGTGTAAGGCGACAGTTGTGATGGCAGGAGTGGTGGAAACACGGGCGAGCTGCCAGCAGCTGGCTGTCGGGGCTGTTCTTTCCGCAAGCGCTGCTGACGGGTGCGCTGCAGGCGCATGCGCGCCATCACCTGCTGCCCATTGACGAGCTCACCTTCCACTTCCACGTCACTGGCGTCTTCGTCTCTCAGGACCAAGTCTACGCGCATAACAAGAGCCACAAGGTACGTAGTGCGCTCATCGACCAATGCACAAGTAGTGATGGGTCAACTGGACTTATTAATTCGAGTTGCGCCCAACTCGAGTGGGATACTCACATACTCGAGTTTTGGCTAGCAGTAATTGAACGATACATGCGAGGAAGCGAGGGCAGAATTCGTTCATCGTGCAAATATATTATATAATAAAGGGTCCGCCAAATAACTTTTTTTTTTAAAAATGCTATTAAAAAAACTACTAAATATTTTTTCAAATTTCTTTTTTTATTTGAAAGTACAATCCTTCCGGTTAATGATGGAAAATAATTTCATTGAAATGGCTGCCTCGGCTGGCCGTGCAGTAGCCTACACGATCGGTACAATTTTTGAGTATATTATCGATTGTGTGCAGCTGTATTTCACCAATGGCTTCACGAATATTGTCCTTTAAAGCGTCAATTGTCTCTGGGTTGTCGGCGTAACACTTATCTTTGACGGCACCCCACAAATAATAGTCCAACGGTGTCAAATCGCAGCTCCGAGGTGGCCAAACGACATCAGCTCTGCGGCTGATAATGCGATTTTCAAAAACAGGGCGCAAAACACAAGTGTAGCGTCGGCTGTGTGGCACGTTGCGCCGTCCTGTTGAAACCAAATGTTGTCAATATCCTCCTCTTCAATTTCTGTGAACAAAAATTCGTTCAACATGGCCCGATAACGATCGCCGTTGACTGTAACGGCCACACCTTGCTCATTTTCGAAGAAAAATGGCCCAATTATGCCTCTGGACCAAAATCCGCACCAAACAGTGACTCGTTTTGTGTGCACCGGCTTTTCGATGAATGCGTGCGGGTTTTCTGTGCCCCAAATGCGACAATTCTGCTTGTTTACATACCCGCCAAGTTCGAAATGAGCTTCATCTGAAAAGATGATTTTTTTTGGCAAAATCCGCATCTTCTGCAAGTCGATCGCAGGCCCACTTAGCGAAGCGAAAACGCATTGGATGGTCAGTTGGCTTCAACTCCTGAACTAATTGGATTTTGTACGGCTTCATACCAAGGTCTTTACGTAAAATTCGTCTCAATGATGTCTCCGAAATGTCCAATTGTTGAGAACGACGGTGAACTGATGTTGATGGCGTCTCACGCACACTTTCGGCCACAGCAGCAATATTCTCGGGTGTACGCACTGTTTTTGGCTTTTCACGCGTTGGTTTATCGATGAGGATGCCAGTTTCTTTCACTTTTTTCACAAGGTAACGAACATACGGAGCTGACGGTGCTTCATTTCTTCCAAAATCCGTACGCAATTTTCGCACACATTCTGCAACATTACCATGATTTTCAAAGTAATGTCGCAATATTTCCCAGCGTTATTCAAGCGTATACACAACCATATTCGTTCAGCGGAAGGATAAAACTAATTATCTGTCAAATTAGACATAAGCTAAGTGTTGCCATTCACGAAATAAGCACTAGTTGAAAAAAAAAGTTAGATGGCGGACCCATTACCAATAAACTGATTAAGAATAATTTGTGATACTTAAATTATTAATAACATAAGTACCACCTACTTATGACATTAGTCATATTTTTTGTTATAAACAATAAAATATAAAAATACATACCTATATGTAGTAACGTATACTTTAAATATGATTTTATTTTCACCCTATCTAATAATAATTGTCCCAAAATATACACTGTAATAGCATCGTATTAGTCAGTGTCCAACATAGAATTGAACAAAACTATATAAACAATTTGTAACAAATTGACACCGCTTGGTTCCGCCAATTCGAGTTGCGTAATTTGAGCTCAGTTCGAGCTGCGTAAGTTAAACTCGAGTAGAGTTTCTTCCGAGTCGGCACATCTCTGGCTGCAAGTAAACAGAGCAGCACGAATATTGACCATAACCTATATAGGTATGGTGTAACTTAGAGCAAGGTGTTCAGTCCGGGGACCGCCCCACGTTCCGTATGCTGGTACGGAGCTATTCTATATAATAAACAAATATAGTACAATATTTTGGAACTTTGACAGCGCGATTTAGGTTTCCAGAAGCATTCCGCCAGTGGCAAGTCGTCGTTTCTTTGGTTAAGTGTAAAGGCCGGCAAAGCATCTACATTTCCTTTAAATTGTGGAGTTACAGTTGTTCATGGGCGGCCGTAGTCACTTACCATCAAGTGAGCCGTACGCTCGTTAGCTCCCTCTTTATTAAGAAAATACAAGGGCACGTGGCGAGGACGGGGAGTATTGTTTTATGTGATTGTTCTTGATCTGCCACGATGGCTAGGGCCACCTGGGAATAAGATGAAATATTTAACAGATTTTATGGCGAGAAAGTTAATGTGTTAAAAAAATGTAGAGGTTAATGTTTCTTTCTGTAATATTAGTAAAATATTATATTAATTTGCTAACAAATTAATACACTTGTACGAATATACCTAAAAGTAGAAACTTATTAAAACGAGTTAAAAATGTGCATAAAATAAAAGAGCAAACCACTGCAGCACGTTTTTCTTTTGTGCTTTCGTAATACTTTAGAGAATTTTAAGTTTTTATTTTAAAATCCAACAGATCAATTTTATGAAATTGTTTAAAGAAAACTTCACCTCAGTCCCACATAGCGACATCTGGTGATGATTAGCCGTCGTAGATGAAATTGTAATCACACACAAACTAAGTAGGTACTCAAACTACTTTGAACACCTTGTGAACACGGACCACAGTATAGTAGTTCGGGTGAGTGTATGCATTTACACCACCCAGCGAATTTGCTGAAAGCGAATGACACGTAAATATCTTTATTTTTTAATAACTTTACCCCCACACTAGGATTTTCTCCCCTTTCGTGTAGGCAGTTTACATACATAAATTGCACAAGTACAAACATCCAGACCCAGAACAATTTTTTGTAGGCCGTAAAAATACTTGATCCATGCGGGATTCGAACCCGCGGCCCCCAGCGCAGCCACTCATTGCAGCCAATGCGCCACGGAGCCGCCAATAGACCACGTCTTTTTTTGTTGGGACTAAGTTGAACTTATTTTTCACTCAATCGCTGCAGCATATGATGCGTCGGTAGATACTAACAACAGTTTTGACAACTGAACTGTATCGATTGAGTCAGTAAATAAATGGACGTATACGGTTTCGATGTGTAAATAAACCCTTCCCGTATGCTTTGAATAGGAAAGATATTACAGTCACACGGCACAGTGCCACAGTTTAATATATAGGAACAATTAGGAAACTCCCTACAAACGCTCAAAACGTCACACTCACACAAACATGTACAACTACGAGACTCTTCCTCCTCCGTGCTGTATTCTTAAATTCATCATTGTCATCATCATTACAGCCACAAAGTAATGCCACAAAGCACGGTCCTGAGCCACCTGTATCCATCGACTTCCTGCATGTTTTATCAGGTCGTCACTCCATCTAGTGGGGGGTCGCCCTACACTACGCCTACCGGTACGAGGCTGCCACTCGAGAACCTTTTTTCCCCAACGGTTGTCGGTTCTTTGAGGTATATGGCCGGCCCATTGCCACTTCAACTTACTAATCCCTTGGGCTATATGGGTCACTCTGGTTCTACAGTGGATATCCTCATTTCTAAGTTTATCACGCAGAGAAACCCCGAGCGTAGCCCTTTCCACAGCTCGCTGAGCGACTTTGAGCGTCCACATACGGCCAGCAGTGAAGGACCACGTCTCGGTTCCGTAGGTCATCAAAGGCAACAATTAAATTTGTTACACTTTTTTAACTTTCTAAAATTTTCTACTTTTAGTAATAAACGTAGTTTGGTTTATCCATTTCTAATCGAATTAATATAAAATGAAACTAATATTTCAGAAATAACCAGCTTAATGTACACCGTTCGGCTTCATAGTCGCGTGAAATCATTGTCAGTGCATCTGTGCAGGAGAGCGTGGACCTGTATGGCGGGCTGCAGGTGCCCGACGAGGGCATCATCATCCACGGCCTGTTCATCGAGGCTGGCCGCTGGGATGTTGGGCGCGGGTGCCTCACGGACTCGCTACCAGGTTCCACTTGCACAGATCCACAACTCAACACATCCACAGCTTTCATCCACTGTGGCACTTTGGCCACGCAACACGTAAATCCTGCGCCGCGCGAAGCTTAAATACCTACTGTTGCAGGGCTGTCACTGTCTTTTTGTTTAACAACTAAGTCTCATTTAATTTTATAAGTACATAGTTATAATATTTACAAACATAATACGTACCTATGCATCATAAGTGTTAATCAATTCTTTAGTTTCCTCTCAAATAATCCATGTTTGTCAAAAAACAAATCCCAGCTTTACATTACAACAAATGCCAAATAACTAAAATACGAGTAAATTAACACTGAGCATATAATGGCACCTCAAATTTAATGTTTAAAATTAATCTGATCTGTTGAGATATGATAATTAATGTACTTATGAGGTATGTATCTATGTATAGATATAGTAATACAACCTGTTAATAAAAAGCTAATTTACTTAAACGAAGAGAAAATAAAAGGAAAAAAATACTGCTAACAAAATTTTATTAAAAGTCAACAAAGTCTCAAAGTTGATTACGGAACGCGGCCACATGAGTAAAGAACCGACCAGAGGCAGAGCACAATATAAATATGAAACAGTAACGAAACTAAGCCTAGTTGAGGACTAGAGGAGGACGGGGTTGTAACTTTTTATGTTTTTGATATTGTTTCTTTTTACAATTTTGTTCTGTAGTGATCAATCAATCGAATTTAAATATTAATCTCAGCTCAGCAGACGTTAGTTTAAACATTATAGTGTAATGTTGAACGGTGAAAGGAAGACGTGTTTCTCTACTCAAGACTTTAATTATACTGTCACTTAAACCTAAGAGTAAGTACATTTATTAACATATGCTAGTAGGGTGGAGGCACATACACTACGCCTCCCCCGATACTTAAAAAAAAAAAGAAAGTTCTCTATTTACTTTTTTTTTTACATTTTAGTTTTCATGAATCTTATAACATAATAATAATTTTAATATTGAATAATTTTTAATATTTATTTTTAATCTTTTAATATTGAAGATTAAAATAAAATACAATGTTACATAGGCTTTAAATGTATATAATTTCTAATTGGAATAAAATAACGTAGTTAAACAAAATATAAAACTAACTTCATTTAAAAAATTATAATCTCATGATCATGATCAGATTATACCATGGTTATACATAATCATATTATTAAGTCAATCCGTGATACGCATGCGATTTTATTTCGTTAACATTTTTATTTCGTACGACATTAAGCCTGTCGTATTTTTGATATTAATCAATGTCACAACTGCACGTTAACATGAACATACCACCTATCATACCATATACTTATTAATATTTTTTTTTACATTTATTTTCACTCGAGATTTATTACATTAACTATATGTTCTAGTTAGAAGTTATGATTTAAAAGTTCAAACAATATAAAACTGAAAATAAACTATTACATTTCATATTAAGCAGTACCTGCTCTACCTTTATATATATTTATTCACATTTGTATTCATAATTGTATATACTTTATATTTAATTTATTTATACCTTTATATTTGTTTAACTATTGCTTTCATGATCTACACAAATAGGTTAGACATTAATATTCTACTATATTTTCAGAAATTAATGACTTATAAAAGTTAAAGCATGTGATTTGCAGGTTTAATGAATATAACACCGATAATATTACATTTCATTTAAATATGAAAAGAGCAAAAACATAATGTAATGCAACGCAAATATCATCGCTATCAGCAATAACGGGAATCAAAATACAACTTGCAATCCCAGTCGCGTAAGCGGTTTGTGACACCTACGTTTTAAATTTCTAAGTAGGTAGGTACGTGGTTTGCAATTACATCGGACTATGATCACAAGGTGTGGTGATTCATACCTAACATTAAGTAACTTCCATAATATGTTATAATATGAATGCAAGTAAAATATACCTTAAAAGTTGGAACAGATATTTAAAAATAGTTGCATTGTTAATAATAAAATATTACTTTTACTTCTAAGAAATACGTTTATCTTAATTGGGACAGAAATTTATATAAAAAGAGAATACACTGTTAGGTACACAGCTAAAGTTTTTTTTTTTACAAAATATTTATTTACATTGGAAAAGCCAATTTTATTTCAAGCAGGTGACACAATTTTAGGTTTTCGTTGCCTTTTTTTATAGAAAAAAAAAAAACGATTACATTATACAATTTACAATAATAGTGTATTGATAACCTTTGGACTTGATTATAATAAGCTTTATATAAATGTAGTTCAAAATTGTACACATTTTACATAAGAAAACATGAGACAGAAAAAAATTATTTAAAGTAGAATCATTGTAAATACGAATCAATGTGCCTAAATATGAAAAAATCTCGTAAATTTATATAAATTTACGCGAAAGTGTACTTATCATATTGGGTTGATATATTTTTATTTGTTTACGTGTAGTTGTGCGAATCGAACCCTATAGCTGTTATATGTGCAACTTGCCAGTAGCATTTTGCGTAGCGTTAATAGTCCTAATATAGAAATGCAAAATAACCATTTATCCAACCCTATGGATTTGGTCGGGGATCCCCTTATTACCTTGTACTTTTGTAGATTGTTAGGCCTTTTTATTATCATTTCTTTTCATAAATCTTGTACGTACTTTCTCTTTTTTTATATTTTGACTTTTAGCTAGCTTTATTTCTCTCTATTCACGCATATATGTATTTATTTATTAAATATCGGGAACCGGAGTTTCAATTAACTTCAATTATATTTCATTTCATGATATTTATCATGCGGGTACTTTATACACATACATATGGGCCTCCCATTTATTTGGGTATTATATTACATTTTCGTAACATTCATTTCATTTTGTTGGTACATAACTTTTTATCGTAATTATATCAAGGTAAAAGTGTACCTTGGGTTGTGCGCACAACCTTGAGGTCTACGTTTAAGTCATTTTCAAAGGACTCCAACAATTGTCACTGAGGAAAACTACGTTCACACCATGATCCAACGAAGGATGTGACCTCAATGTACCATTATTAAGGGTAACAAATTTAAGACTTCTCTGGTCCCTAACAGTACTAATATGAGTAAACTCAGTTACATCACTTGTGCTGAAGGCGTTGTTCCCTAGTACCCGTTACTCCGATTTCATCGTCCAATCACGGAAACGTACCCTGCTCGAGGACTATACGCTATACCAGTGTTGAACGTTCCCATATCTCTCCATTACTTATTGGTCAATGTCATATTTTTATTATTGCCATAAATATTTATTCCTTCTTTATTTCTTCATTACCTTGTTCTTTATTTATATACTTTCGTGCCCCACTTCTATATACTAACTTGCATCATTCTCACACATTTCAAGTCGCACAGTTTAAGTATCATCAATATTTGGGTGATCAGTCCAATATTGACAAAACTTAGTAACTAAATCATTTGTATTTACACGTTCGAACATTCTTCCGTTCCTCATACCAATTACATGCTTTCTAATTTTTGTACAAATGAGATAACATTCTTATCAATAAATTTTCTTTGTCGGTGTTTAACTTTTTTTTGAACCATTATTATTAAAAACTCTCTTAGCTACTTTATTCCTCTTTACACTGTTATTTATTTATTATTTTCATCTCTGTAACAACTCATTCTCTACTATTATCATTTACTCATTTATTTTCCTATACTTATTATTTTTATCGCTATTACAATGTTGTTATGATTTATCCTACACCTGTTAATGTGTTGCATGTTGCTGTGTTCAGTTTAAATTTATCATCTATGTTACCATGTTTTTTTTATAGGATACGCTCATTGCATAACATTTTATAATATCATATTTTTAGAAACATCAGTATCATTCGTAAGAAATGGTTAGCAGACCTTTTATATTCACTGTGTAAAGATTGACTCTTGTTATACGAGTATTTACCTACCTACCTACCTAGTTTCTTGTCTTTCAAAAGAAATAAAAGTGTTATTTTAGCCAAAAAATATGAAAAATATAATTGATAATAAACGTTAAAATAATCGCATCGTATGATCGTGCCTAATGTCAACTTAACGTGTACAATTTGTTACTACATAAGTAGTAGTACTCATATAAATGAGTGCGAGTAAAAAAAATGTACCTTAAACTAATATTTTTAATTTCTTATTTATTCAGAAGTCCACATGGTTACATCGTTAAAAGCTATATCGCTTTTATACAGATCGAAAAATATTACTGAAAGTATGTTATTTATTATGTCGTGTATACAGAATAATTGAAAATCACATTATAATAGTTATCACCTTTACAAAATGATACAATAATTTATTCAAACATTTAAAAGGAAGTTTTTTATATTTTACATAAGTTATTATATAAATTTAAGATTTAATGCCTTTAAAAAAAATTAAAACTTATAATGATAGTGAAATGTTTCTAACCCTTTAAAATTTGGATTCGAGAAAAAAAATCAACGAAATGTATCACAGTGTTATTTTAAATCAAGTGCGTAAAATTGGAATCTATTATTTTTTATCATTAATTGTTTGGCAGGACACAGTAAAAAAATAATACAAAACTATAACTTCATAAATGAGAATATAAAGTCTGGTCTGGCGCCTTAATAGAAGTGCCACATAAGTGCTTAAAATTCAACTTAATTTTTAATACTGTATTATAATTGTTTTTGTTTTTTTTTCGTAGGTATTAAATATTTGATAATAAAGTATATTGTGAATAATCTGATAACTAATTTCAACTTAATTATATGTAAAATACAGAATATTTAATATCTAAGTTTAAAAACATAATAGCAAAAAAAAAAAACAATCTTAAATTGTTAAATAAAGTTTGAAATAGAATTAAAATCACATAGGTGCGAAGTTACCTCATAATTTGTTCTTTTCGGCTGAATTTTTCTATCTTCTTATCGGTTAAGGCTTGCAGGAAGTTTCTTCTATTTTTCTTAAATTTGTGGTCTCACCATCTAATTCGTTTAATCTTCATGTAATATTTGAAGCTGTCATAATATTTGTTTCTGAAGTTGATCGTTCCCGTTTTTTTTCCGTAACATTTTTCTTCTTTTTCTAATAGGTTTTATTAGCATATCTCCTTAAAGAAATAATAACCATGTCTCCTCTTCTTATGTCTCCGTTTCGGCTTACTTGTCACATCCGGTAGTGTCAATTCAATAGTTGAAAATTGTTCCTTTAGTTTTATATTTATTTTTCCATGTTTCTTTAACTATTTGTGCAGGCCGCGGCGGTGCGCGTGCCTTGTCGCCGCGCACCGCCTGGCATGTTTCGACATGTAATGTTGAACGGTTGGTAAATGAAAGGAAGACGTGTTTCTCTACTCAAGACTTTAATTATACTGTCACTTAAACCTAAGAGTAAGTACATTTATTAACATATGCTATTAGGGTGGAGGCACATACACTACAATAGTTCAAATAGTCGTATATATTAATACTATGCAATAGCCTCATACAGTATAATTCGTGAAGGTCTTGGTTTACGCGAGCGACCTTCAGGATAATTTAGGGCAGTGATGGTTTACGGGACGCTTCGTTACGGTCGCAAGGGTTGCACTGCTAGGAATATATAGATAGATAGTCCAACTATGACCATCTTTGTACGGACTTGGCATGTGTGTGATTTGATGTAGATTATATTATTTTCAACATCCAAGTTTTATAACCTTTCTTGAATACCATACCTAAAACTCTGATTACAAAATGAGTCCTTCAGTTACCATCTTCCTATTTGGGCCCATTTTTGGTCGTTATAGCGGTCAAACCGCGAACTCACTTAATACGCTCCTATCGTGAAAGCCCACATATTGTGACGGACAACTACGGAACCCTACCTCTACATTGTGCGTGGCCCTTTGAGTTTTCAACCAAGCGTACTTGGCAGGTTCTTCAAAAATAGCATCGACTTCATTCGTATGAGGGCGACCAGAGCGAGCTGCATCTCTGATACAAAATTCCCGGACAGAAAATGCTTGAACTAATTTTATGCTACTCTTACTGACACTGTATTAGATCCATAAAGGTTACAATTTTTTCGCGGCTTGAGTCGCATTTTTCATCTTTTTTGTAAAAAAAAATTCAGAATGTATCAAATTTCTTCGTTAGATTCACTCATTTTGGCAGAAAGAAAAATTCAAAAATGGCGGGAGTGTCTTTTTCTTTTTTTTTAATGCCCTTTATTTTCCTTCAATTTAATACAAACAAAATACGAAGATAAAAATGTAACGTATGTTTTTTATGCGTCGCAGGGCAAACGTGGGCGTTACTACCCGCGGTGCACGTGATGGCAGTGGTGGTGGGTTCTGGTGATGGCAGTGGAGGAGATGATGCGGGTAGCGTGCGGTACGAGGCGCCGCTGTACCGCACGGCGGCACGCGCCGGCACTTTACTCACCACAGGGCACAGCACTAACTTCGTGGTGCCGCTGATGCTGCCAGCAGACCAGCCGCCCCACTTCTGGATCCTGCGCGGAACCGCACTGCTCACCCAGCTCACCGACTGACAACACCATCTCGTATACCTTGCATAAGTGACCGTCAGCTGTTCTGGATGTACCCTATCAGAGGTCACTGACAACCGATCTTCGTGCGAACGTAAGCTCTATTACAAGTAAAAAGGATATGCTGTAAAGGAGTGACACATCGATAAAAATTAAAAGACAATAATAATCAATCATCATCGAGTCATCATTAACATTAGCGGACGTGTCTTCTCACTGACATTTGTTACTGATCTAGTGTAAATGTAGGTACCTTAGTCTCGAAACACCGTGGAACTGTGAACAGTGTGATAGGGAAGCTATCAGCCTACACGCTCCCGTTGCAAACGTAATTTTTCTTTTTAAATTTAACGATCCATCTGATTTCATACGTAGTTTTCACATTTTCACACTAAATATCATTTAGCGGCCTATCTCGTTTATTTGACTGTTTGTTGTACTTAAGTATTTTATTTATATTGAATAGCGTACATAACTACATATTATGTGTTACTGATTGTATTCTTAGCGTCTAGTTCCTTGTGTTGAATAAACGTATAGTTAACTAAAATAGTTATTTTATTTTATCATTATTATAAAAATCTAAGATATTGAAGTAACCAACTGTAGCAACTAACTGGTGCACCTGAGTCTCTCCTACGTTTGACTGATAAGTGCATGCTTAGACACCGTTTGGCAGGACTGGATGGCAAAGCAATAAACTGTGGTAAAGAAATGGCAACGCTTGAAATGTTTAAAAATAGTCGACGTAAAACCTGTACTGCTGTTCAAAGCTTACAAATTAAAAAAGGTTTTCGGACAAGGAAAACTTAATTCCCTTGCCTAATTCGGAAACTACATAGTTATTGGTAAGAATATCGACAAATAAGTATTTGGGAGTTTCTCAAAATAAGTCAAATTTAGGGTAAGAGAAATATATAGGTTCCCGTCAGGGGTGACAAACTAAAATAAAATTTGTGCGCGACAGAGCTATGCTGCAGCTGTATTACGGCTGGTATTAGCTATACAAAGATGGACCGGGGTGGGACTATGCTCCACATCATCATCATCACTACAGCCCTTCACAAGTCCACTGCGGAACATAGGCCTCCCCCAAGGTATGCCACAAAGCACGGTCCTGAGCCACCTGCATCCATCGACTTCCTGCATGTCCTACCAGGTCATTACTCCATCTAGTGTGGGGACGCCCTACACTTCGCCTGCCGGTACGAGTACTGCCACTCGCCAACCTTTTGCCCCATCGGTTATCGGTCTAGCTATGTGGCCGACAGATTGCCACTTCAATTTACTAATCCGTTGGGCTATGTCGGTCACTCTGGTTCTACTGCAGGTATCCTCATTGCTAAATTTATCACGCAGAGAAACAAGCATAACCGTCAATACTGAGGTGATTGAGCATAGTGCTTAGATTCTAATTATTTTTTTTATAATATATGTATATATTAGATATAAATCGAAAGTGAGTGATGTACTGGGCATTGACGTTGATACCCTATCCTTTCCAGTTCAGTAGCTTGAAAACGTCTTCCAATGCAGCGGTGAAGAGTTTCGGGGATATTACGTCACCCTGTCTTATACCTCTCTGCAGATAGATTGGTTTCGTACTCTGGTTCTGTACTCGAATAGCTGTCGTAGACCTACTGTATAAACACTTCAGGACTTCGATATATCGACAGTCCACTTAGCACCGCTGAAGGGTCTACAGCACCACCCAAATTTCCAAATGGCTTTCTCATAGTCCTCATACGCAAGACAAAGTGGCAGATTAGTCTTCGGACTTCTGTACAATTTGCCGAAGGGTATGTATGTGGTTTATGGTACTAAAGCATTTTTGGAAACCAGCTTGTTCGGGAGGCTGGAAGTCGTCGAGTCTGCGTGCGAGACGATTCGTAATGACTCTCGAAAACAGCACGCAGACGCGGCTCAGAAGGGAAATTGATCTGTAGTTCTGCAAGAGAGCGTTGTCGCCTTTCTTGAAGAACAAGACCACCGCACTTCCGCTACAGGCCTCCGGAGTATTACCACGATGGAGGACGGAATTGAAGAGCTTCTGAAGAACTTACGTATCGGTTTTCCACCTTCTTTCAGAAGTTTCACTGCAATTCCATCCTCACCCGGGTACTTGCCGTTTTTAAGCCGCTGGATAGCCATTCTAATCTCGCTAAGACTGACGTCCGGGGTATCATCGGAATAGTGCCGGATAAGACCTACTCTTGCATAAACACTTACACTTGCGTGTGGCTCCAACGATGATGTGTACATCTGCCCATAGAACCTCTCAATTTCACTCAGAATCTCATGTGTCCCGGAAACGATGCTGCCACATTCGGTCTTCAGCTTCGACAGTTGGCTCTTTCTGGTAGACAGATCTATGGCAAAGACTTTGGAGCCCTGGTTGCGCTCAATCGCATCTTCAACACGAGCTGTATTACAGTTGCGTAAGTCCCACCGCACGCATTTGGAGATGTGTCTGTTTAGTTACCGTGTGCTTCCCTCTCTTCAGACCCCAGATAACTCTATAATATTCCAGCGCAACTTGTCTCTCTTCTTCCAGCTCCAGGATCTTCTCGTCAGTCCTCAAGGTGCGTGCGTTATAAGTTGCCAGGTGGAGTCGCTTCTTTGTGTCGTTGTTCATGGGGGGGTATATTGCCATAGTTGCCAGCTTGGCGAGCGGGTTGGCAACCGCAGTTTTTATTGATGCTGTTACTGTTATCAGAAAGATGTTGCTGTCCATCTTCTGTCTCAGTTTCCCTCTGTCGCCTGTTACGACAGCCACGGGAAGAAATGGGGTACCTAGTGGGTATTCTTACTCGCTCCACTCGTTGTCCTATTATTCTTGAAAGAATCCTATTTTGACAACGCTTTGTCAACGTTAAATTTTTGCCACTGTACCACTGACTATACATATATGGACTGGCTATACACCTTGACATAATGAGGCGATTTGATTTGCGTCATTTTGGCGCTGACTGCAGATGAAGTCCAGGAATAATAATAGAGATAAGAGTGTGAAAATTATCGATTATTTACTCTTCCTATGCCTAAATAAATGAAATGGACTTTTCTACCCGTAACGTCCATTCTAATTATGTATCATATTAATATAATGCCATCATCATACAACCCTTCACAAGTCCACTGCTGAACATAGGCCTATCCCAAGGAATGCCACAAAGCACGGTCTTGAATCACCTGCATCCGACAACTTCCTGGATGTCTTACCAGGTTGTCACTCCACCTAGTAGGGCGACGCCCTTAACTTCGTCTGCCGGTACAAGGCTGCTACTCGAGAACCTCTCTTGCTCATCGTTTATAGGTTCTTCGACCTATAGGGCCGGCCCATTTCCACTTCAGCTTACTAATCTGTTGAGCAATGTCGGTCACTCTGGTTCTATTGTGGATACCCTCATTCCTAAATTTATTACGCAGAGAAACCCCGAGCACAGCCCTCTTCATAGCTCGTTGAGCGACTTTGCGCTTCCATATACAGTCATCAGTGAAGGACCACGACTGAGAATAATCAAGTGGTGCATTGCCAATCATCACACCAACACTTCTTCCCTTGCAATTCTACCTCAGCTGCAGCGGCACAGGGAGAAGAACCTCCTCGAGCCTCAGCATACTAACACACGTGAAAGGTCTCAACAAGCCCACTCAGAGTGACCACCTCAGGCCAGTCGAGTGAGTCCCCTACTTTTAGCATGGGTTACCAAACCACTTCTACTAACTCCCACGCCATGAAAAAGCTAGCTAGCTAGTAGACAATATAGTTTTAAAACTACTTAAATATATAATCTAACTATCAAAAAGTTAAGCACCCCTTAACTGAAGAAACTGAAGAACTTTTCTCGTTAGCCGTACTTTAGCTGTATACCTGTATAGCGAACGGGCAACTCTCAAAATCGCCTAGATATAGATGAACTATAAAATATAGGTAGGTTTTAAATTAATTTAATAATACGTACGACATAGTTGTGACAGTAATTCATTTCTTATCAAGTAAGTATAAAATAAAATAAGAGACTAAAAACGAAAGTAATTTTTTTTTATTTATCTAAATATACATATGTTCCGTTGTGAGATACGAACGTAACCATGGCGCAGTACACTACAGTTGCTACGATAACGGTATGAACTATCAGTTGGTTAGTGAGTACAAATAGCCGAATAGCTGAAGAGCTGATGGTTATGTGTGGAATTTTTTCTCCAAATTTATATGGGACTGCTCTTGTCCTAGTATTACCTATTTTAGAAAAAAAATAATTAAAATCGGTTCTTTATCTGCGAAGATATATGTAATTCCTTAAACAGTAGTCCAATATGAAACTTTTCCTATATTTTCCACCCTTGGGGCCGGCATTTTTTTTTCAAAACTGAATCAGACCATTGAAATGAAATGAAATGAAACGAAACTTCGGGATAATAATAAAAATAAATTAAAGTAATTAAACGCGATAAAATCCGTAAATAATAGTTTTATTCAATGAAATGAAATGACTTGAGGTAAAGCCTATTTAAAAGAAACTATTTAATATATATAAAAAAAGAAATTATAAAAGAATTGTTAAAATAGGTTATAGATTCACAACCTGCGAAGATATATTTCGTAACATGCATACAAAAAAATTGCACTCTAATTGAGAACCGCCTCCTTTTTGAAGTCGGTTAAAACCATACTTTAAGCACAACCACATGCCTACCTATACCACAGTATAAATAATAGTACTACTTACCTATATTTACATGTATTATTATATGCATAAGATAATTAGACACCCGGCGCGTCGACGCCGTTGAGTTTATCCATCCTAGAGTAGTTAATATACAGTAGATCCGCGGTAATCCGACAAACATTTTGCAAGGCGGTGTCGGATTATCAAATTTGTTGGACTATAGAGTACTGCCACAGCCCCCTGGTAGTCCGGAACTTTTTGAAAAAGAGTACCTTGTAATCCGACAAATTACATATCAAATATTAAACAATAAAAAAGTCATGTGAAATT